ATAGTCAAAATGTATTTATTCTTTGAAAATCCTCTTCTCTGCTCCTGGGTATTAAACATACTAACAATGCGTAATTATGATTAGAAAGGTTGCCTCTTCTAAAATTGTGAAAAAATTGTGAATTTCATGGTTCCAGGGTGAGTGGGTCTAGTGTAAGGGCGGGGCTGTATTGATTTTGTAGTGAAAACATATTAGTTCTTTGAAAATCGTCTTCTCTGCTCCTTGATATTTAATAAACTAACTAAATAGTTACATTGGTAACTTAATACCCATAAGCAGAGCTAGTAGAGAAAAAATTGCATTCAACTTATCAGTAATATTCAGCAATAATCAGCAGTGCCCCATCCTACAGAAACCTCGGACTCTGGAGCGACACATTTCACAACTTTGGAAAAGACACCCTTGAAAATTCGATCCCGAGAAAGTTACTTAAAAGCGGGCTATTAGGCATTTATTTTGTCTTTATATAACGCGAAAACAAAAATAGAACAGGAGGAAAAGGTGTTGAATTTATTTTCAATGTATCGAATGGAATACATGTGAAACCCATGAAAGCATCTTAAGAAAATACTTTTCAAATTCATGCGTTACATAAGTTTGAAAATTTTATTTGTTATTCCACATGTTTTGCTAAATCGTAGTTTAAATGTTTGACAAGCAACGTGAGTTATGGTATCTCATCTATAACTTATTAGTATTATTGCTTCGTGTATGACATTTGTTACTGAACATGAGAAGGAAAGACAAATTGTATAATTTCATTATCTTAGAATACAGTACAGGAATATGTGCGTGCCCTCATTCAATAATTTTATTTCTATTATCTCAATTTACATATTCTTTTGAAAATCTACATCAAAATTATCGATCTTCTTAATTGAGAACGGAAAGTAAAAATTAAATATACATTGTACTGTACTGTATATCATTTGAAAATGAAACTACAGCAGGTTCATAGAAAACAATTTGAGTAAAGTTCAGAGACTCGTATATTTAAAAACCCATCGGACGTTATCATTAAATCTAGTTAATCATTAGAGTTTACGGTTACGATTTTTTTTTTGGGGGGGGGGGGTCTAGATTTCCCTGTATTTGTTTATGTTCAAATATTTAGAAATATCCTTTTTAAAGAATCATTTTCATAATTATGTTTAAATAATTAGAAATACCTTTTTTGAAAAATCATTTTCAATTTCATTTATTTGTGATATACATGTATATGAAGGGGAGGGGGGCATGAACCAGTAAAAATATTTACTTGAAAGTAACTTGAGCAAATTAATATATTTGTGCCTTTTGTGGGGTTTTATTAAATTCTGATTTAAATCAGATCTTTGTTACGCTCCGAAATTCTTATGGTCGCTGTACAAAATTGTATTTCCGAGCGCGACAAAGATCTGATTTTTATCAAATGTTTTTTTTTTTTTTTTTTCAAAAATTTTCAGTTAAATATGTGTTAGAAACCTTGACGTGAAACTGCTATAAATGAACACTTAACATATATTTACGTATATGTGTCTCGCTTCATATTTAGATATGATTGATTGTATGTTGTTTAACGTCCCTCTCGATAATTCTTCACTTCTGCTTGCCGGTGGAGAGCTACACATTTTTACCTATACTCGGCACTTACATGTAGGGCCATTGAGCAGTGGGGGATCTTTTTCGTGCCAGCACCTACTGCGACACGGGACCTCGGTTTATACGGTCTCATCCGAAGAACCGTGAGTAAAAGATAAGATAATATCATAATTAATGTGTTTGTCTTTCAGTAATTTAAACTACAATTTAGCAAAACAACAGCAATATCAAATAGATTTTACACTATTTTATGCATGAATTTGAAAATAAAGTGTTTTGATGCTTTCGTCAGTTTCACTAGTACTACATCCGATGCATTAAAGATAAATTCAACACCTTTAATTTTCTTCCTCTTCTAGTTTCCCGCGTTATACATGAAAAATAATATCCCGCTGTTATAAAACTTACAATTTCTCGGGTTCGAAATTCCGAGCCCGGAGATATTAGGAAATCAGCATCACTTACATTTCTGCGTCGAATGTACAGCGGAATTCTGGAAAATTAATCGATGTACTCCACATTGTCATTTTAAACATGTAAAGTGTACATTTATCGATCGTCGCAAAAACAACAATGATCAATTCCATTACTGTATTGGAATATACCGTACATGTGGGTTGTTTTTGGCATGTTCGAAATTTTGCAAAAAAAGGTAGATTTGTACAGTTTTTATTTTGCGTAAGTTTTTTTTTACGATTAAAGATTTTTATTTAAAAATAGTAATGTTTTTATGTCACATTATAGCCTGCATAATTTCTGCTTGTATTATATTTTGCGAATTAAAAATGATCGCAGAAAAAAGCGAAAAATAGATCATCGCGAAAATAAAAAAACGGATAATACGGTACAAGGGACAGGGCTTACTGGCGGCAAGATAAAAGCTTGGGTCCGCTTCACGCATGAGTGCGAAAAGCGAGCGTCGGGTTCGCTCCAACAGACCCAGAGCTGACCTCGAACGAACGCGGAGCAAACCCAAAGCGTACGCAGTCCCAAAATTTCTGAAAGCGGACCCAGGGAGCGAACCTGGGGTGCGCTTCGAGTTCGGTCTGGTATTAGGTTGACTCCGGTCGGTATTGTACATTATCACGTTGCTTGCATGTACATTGTACAATATTTGGATTTACATTTCGCATTTGATCTTTTATCCCAATTGACAGATCTGTATGTCATTTTGATCGGACAACGCGCTGACTGGTTAATCGCTAATCCTGATTGACAACTCTATTAAGCAATATCGAACGCGCGTTTGCTTTATGGGACCTCTATTGAATTTGGGGTTCGCTCTCCGGGACCGCTACGAGTGCGCTCTGGGTCAGCCCGAGCAAACCCGGAGTGCGTCCCAGAGCTGACCTCGAACGAACGCGGAGCAAACCCAAAGCGCACGCGGTCCCAAAATTTCTGAAAGACCCAGGGAGCGAACCTGGGGTGTGCTTCGAGTTCGGTCTGGTATTGGGTTGTGTCCGGTTGGTATTGTACATTAACACGTTGCTTGCATGTACATTGTACAATATTTGGATTTACATTTCGCATTTGATCTTTTATCCCAATTAACAGATCTATATGCCATTTTGATAGGTCAACGCGCTGATTGGTTAATCGCTAATCCTGATTGACAACTCTATTAAGCAATGTCGAACGCGCGTTTGCTTTATGGGACCTCTATTGAATTTGGGGTTCGCTCTCTGGGTCCGCTACGAGTGCGCTCTGGGTCAGCCCGAGCGAACCCGGAGTGCGCTCCGGGTTCGCTTTCTGTTCGGTTGTGTCCGGTCGGTACTGCTTGAACACCTTTATATCTCTATTCAGACAAATGCATTATTAGGGCCCCGCTCAGCGGGCGCCCTATAGTGATCAGTCTGTCCTTCCGTCCGTCCAGCTGTCCTTCCGTTCGTCTATCCGTCCGAGATCTCTTGTCCAGAGCATATCTTCTCTTCTTCAGCCAGTCTGCTCATACTTAACCCAGAGTCCCTTTGGGTAACGGGTGTGCAGTGACTTTGAACCATATTTCTAGGTCAAAGTTATAGAATTAGATTAAAAAAATCCTTGTTCGGAGCATATCTTCTCTCTCCTTGGCCCAATCTGGCTAATACTTCACCCACAGAATGCCTTTAGGTAGAGAGTGTACAGTGACCATGAACCATTTTCTAGGTCTAAGGTCAAGGTCATAGCAGAATCAAATGAAAAATCCTTGTTCGGAGCATATCTTCTCTCCCCTTTGTCCAATGCGACTCATGCATACTTCACTCACAGAGTGCCAGTGGTCATTGAATGTGCAGTGTTCTTAAGCAAAGTTTCTAGGTCAAGAGTCAAGGTCAAAAATAGCCTTTCTGTTTAAATTCTTGTCGGAGCATATTTTCACTTTTCTTGGCCTAATCTGGCCCATACGTCACAAACGGAGTGCCTTTGGGTAAAGGGTGTGCAGTGACCCTGAACCATGTTTCTAAGGTTAAAGTTATAGCAGAATTATATGAAAAAATCTTATTCGGAGCATTATCTTCTCTCCCCTTGGTCCAATGAGGCTCATACTTAACTCACAGAGTGCCTTTGGGTGAAGAGTGTGCAGTGACCTTGAACCATGTTTCTAGATCAAAGGTTAAGGTCATATCAGAATTATATCAACATCCTTGTTCGGAGCATAGTAATTTTCTCTCCTATCGGTCAATGTGGCTCATACTCATATTGCTAAGAGTGGGGCCCTTTGAGATGGCCACCATCTCAATGATATCTAGTTTTTCAAGTTGTTGGTTGATATACAAAATTACACATTCATTTGGTAAGCGATTTCATCTATGAATGAGGACGTGCAGACCGCATAAACAGAGATCCCGTGTCGCAGAGGGTGCTGGCACGAAAGAGATTCCTTCCAGCTCAAAGGTCCTTAGTGCAGAATATAGGACAACATTTGCAATCATTACATCGTAAAATCGAAAATCACTACAAAGTCCCTGATTATATCATCTTGAAATTTTTACAAGGCTGTGACTGTAAAGAAACTTCAATCAGAATGGAATGATTGCAACATACAATTCTTATAAATAATATATAGGCTTACATCCACTTAATATTATCTCCATATTATTTCGGAAGAAAACCATTGCAAGTTATCAATAAGCATATCACCTTAACAGATTACATGAACAGTGATTGTTTCATCAATGAAATGTGGAATGATGCAAAATCAACAATACTCTATTTCATCTAATAAATCCTTTTTAGATGATTATTTGTACAGATATAAATGATAAGATGTCTTTGTTTGATATAACGGGAATTTGTACTGCAGCTACCCCCCCCCCCCCACACACACACAAAATCTGCAACAGAAGAACGAAAGAAAGCATTGCACTGCACTGTTTAAATTATTTTTAATTTTACAAATCATCCTGCTATTAATACTGCCTTTTAAAATTGTTTCTTGATAGGGTGTGTGCACGAACCACCTCCGGTTTTTTATGGATACAACGCCTCATTACCAGGAAACTTACATAGCAATGGTTCATTTACATCGGAAAGTTACGTGGGTGACAGTAAAAGATACACATGTGCATCAGGAACAGTTCCTGTAGGAGAAAATCAGTTAACGTGTTTAGCGAACGGTTTATGGGAAACCCCAAAGTATTCCTGCCAAGGTATAATTTTCATTTGGATATCACATGTACTTGTGGACAGGAACCCCCCCCCCCCCCATTCAACCCCGGGGCTAAATGGAATTTTTTCCCCCACAAATTATATTAGGAATAAGGTCTTGCCACAAAGATTACATATGTAAAGTATAAACGTCCTTGTTTCTACTGTTCATAAGATATGGCCAAAGTAAAAGTTTGGAATTTTTGTGTGAAAAAATGGGTCAAACGCCAAAGTCAAAGTCAAAGATCTTGCTATCAAATGAAAGGTCTTGTCACAAGGATTAAATATGTAAAGTATGAAAGCAGTAGCCATACATCTTTAAAAGTTATGGTCAAAGTTAGCTTTTTAAAAGTAGGTCAAACTCCAAGTTCAAAGGGTCAAAGTTCTTGGTATCGAATGAAGGGACTTCTCAAAAGGATTACGTATGTGAAGTTTGAAAGCCTTATCCCTTACCGTTCAAAAGTTATGGCCAAAGTTAAGTTTTTTCATAAGTACAAAAATCTCCAAGGTCAAGGTTGTTCATATCCATTAAAAGGTCTTTCCACAAAAAATACATATGTGAATTATAAATGTCCTAGTATCTACTGTTCAAAAGATATGGCCACAGTAAAAGTTTAGAATTTTAGTGTCAAAGTGGGTCAAACTCCAAGGTCATGGTCGGAGGTTCCCAAAGAGAGGTCTTGTTACAAGGAATACACATGTGAAGTATGAAAGTCAAACTCCACTAAATCAAAAGCTATGGGCAAGGTTGGGTTTTTTCGGACAAACAGACAGACAGACGGACACGACAAAAACTATATACCTCGTTTACGGGGGCATAAAAAATTATAAATGATTGTTTTTTCGAGTACAAACAACTCTTTTGACTTTAATGCCACATTCTGATTTTTGATGTTTATTATATAAGGCTTCAGAAAATAGATAAATGCTGCGTATTGTTAATAAAGGTGTTTGTTCAATGATAATGAACAGAAAATGTTAAATTTTCCTTTTCAAAAATAAGTTTTGAATCATTTGGACAAACTTTATCATGTATAAATATGGTAAATTGTAGAACATACTGTAAAGACAGTTTAAATTTTGGAAATCGAAAAAGTTATTATAAATACCCGAGTGTTTATCTTTCCATGTATAAAAAATGTGAATCTTTGAGGCATTAAAAATATAAATACTGCACTTTAACTAAGTAAAAAAATCAAGGAATATAAATCCGCTGAATACATATAACAATTTGTTTTTCCTAAATTTTTATTTCAGTGAGTAGAGGTAGGAGGAACCCTTTCATTGATTTTCTGAGTTTGTTATCTCCAAATATAATAATTGATAGTTGTCTTTCTTTCTCATTGTGCATAATGGTAATGTCTACTGTCTCTGAAATTCTACTCTTTATGTTTAGGGTATATATCCGTGGATATAAAAAATATGCCATTAATAAGTGCAAATTATATTAGCCTATATTAAATCCAAGGGGGTACAACTACTGAAATATGCAGTCAAATTCAATCTGCATGATTAGATTCTAAGGAGTATATACAATTGAAATTCATCGCAGCTCAATGCTGCTAAGAATACCTGTATCGAGTAACACAGAGTGAGTAATTCATGTCCTTGGAGAAAGTGTGCTTCTATACTGAGGTTTCTACTTCTACCACTCTGCAGCCACCATCAATCACTGATAACACTGCCACTTCGGTGCGCATACCAATGTTTCGACTGAGTCTTGACGGCACTAATTTGTCTAATGTTTCTATTCCGACTAGTCCATTTTGGATCTTGTAAAGAATTAATCTGGCCCTCCTTCTGCGCTCCTCCAGAGTGACCCAATGCAGGGTATCCAACATATAGGTGACCAACGAGGTGTTATGATATCGGTTGGTAACGTACCTGGCTTCCCTGCGTTGTACCATCTCAATCTTTTATATATCCTCTTTCAAATATGGGTCCCATGTAGTACAAGCATAGGGTAGGACTTACAGCTGACTTGTAGGCTTTTTCTGTGATGTTTGCATTTCTTATGTTCAGGTTACGTTTTAGAAAGCTGATGGTATCATTGGCAGATATTGGATATATGTTGGTTCCATTTCATATCTGATGTAATTGATACACCTACATATTTTGCTGTTGTTACATGTTCAAGCTGATCACCATGAAGGGTGTTATTCTTCATAATGGGGTGCCTTTTCCTGTCTGGATATAGTGAGAACATTGCATTTTTCTGGATGAAAATTCATTTTCCAAGTCTCCTCCCATGCTACAAGTTGGTCAAGGTCTTGTTGAAGATGGGTAAATTGCATCGATGTCTGATGTTATCGTCAGATATATATCAGACAACCCAGCTTCCATACAAGTTTTGATTCATTTAAGGAATAACTGTCTTATTTTTTCGATTTCATGAAGTGATTAATCGATTGGATTGCGTGATAATTTGCAAAAATGCCGAAGGCGTTTATGCATAAAATTATCACGCAAGCCAATCGATTGATCATCTTCATGAAATTGAAAAATCTGACAGTTATTCCTTATATTTACATGCTTTGATTCCGCAATCCTCGTGCTCCAAGCCCTGCTTCTGTCTAGATGTTTGTCCCGCTCTGTACGTGGGTTTTTTTTTTGGGAACCGCGCCAATACATTGATGGGGAAATAAAGTACATTAACAGTTGGTAATTTTATCTCGGACAAAGACATTGGAAATGTAAATATTACTCTATCATCACTCATTTTGTATTTTCTATGTTGTGGCACTTAATAATATCCTTGAGCACGGAATGTGTACTATTTTTCCATGGAAACCTTTTTTGTGAAATTATTTGAAACATATAAAATGTTCAACTCTCGCAGAGGGACAATTCTAAAAAACAACTCGTGGAGAATATTACACGTATTTTCTCTTTCATTACATAATCATGGTAACATTTCAAAATCGTCCTCAGAACAAGTGGTCAATAATTCGGAGAATAACTGGGTTCTATACATTTTCCTGACTGGAACATTTGTGGGTGTTTTTTGTGTCTGTCTTTGAAAGGATCTTATATTCTAATATTGTGCAATGAAAATTAGTACACCACGGGCGGAATAAAATCATATTTGATGGTGTTGATACAATTCGTTTTTGCTTTTGTGATGTCGAACTACACTCAGATTCATCATTTTCGTTTTTTGTGTATTTTTGGGCGATTTAAACTTAAACTGCTTTTCTTCTTTGTCATTATTTTCGTTTGATCTACAATTTTCAGATTTATATTTTTAGCCAAAGGCTCAAAGAGCGCATGCTATGACCATTTGTGCAGTATGCGTAAACTTTCTAGAAAATGGGCTATAGCTCAAGAACCTCTTCGGCAATCAGTGTCAAATTTGTCACAGGGTATCCTTGGCCCAAGAGATACCATTTACACTAATACTAGGGTTTGGGCTTTTAAACAAGGGGAGATAATCAGGAAAATAAAACCAAAACTAGAGCCGAGCTCGTTGCAAAGCAACGAGTAGGTCTTCCGTCCTGTTTGACCAGAAGTAACTTTCATTTAAAAAAAAAAAGAGTAATGAAGTCCAAAAATGGGTTAATCCTCCAAATCTTTGTTAAGTATAGCAAAATGAAGCCATTCTTTGGTACTTCTGGTTGGGTTGACCGGAAGTGACGACGACGGACGGAAAATTAATGTTTAAGCTTCTAGTGACACATGTTACCCAAAAACGGCAAAAATATGCATTTTCTGACTACTTCCGGTTCGACCGGAAGTGACGTCGCCAGACGTATTTTGACGACCCCATTAGATAAAGCTTGATATTTTAAACAACTTTGCTTCTTTGATGTATAACAAATTCTCAATACTTTTTGAGATATCTGGAAAAAACTTTTGGCCCCTCTAGGTCCCTTAATTTAGGAGTCAGCCCTTTTTTCGACATATCATTTGAAAGATCTTCTAATTCTGCACAAATTATGCTCTATATATTTTAACAAAATATTTTTAGTTTAGAAGATAAAAAGAAAAATATGAGTAATTTTTGGTTCTTTTAAGCGTTCTTATTTTTGACCCCTACATAGCGCCATTTTGAATCGAGAAATCGAAAAACAAAAACCGATGTGCACAACTTCAATCCTTCTATTATCTAAAATCAGTAGAATTTCTGCTCCAGCCGTCTCTGAGCCTTTGTTTGGAAACGAAAGCCTATAAATTTTCCTTTAAAGGGAAATAACTCAAAAACCGGAAGTGGCTTTTTTGAAATTTTAAAAACATTCTGATAGAATTTATTAACGTCTATAATGTCTGAAAATTTGAGCGAAATCTGTTGAGAAATGAGCGAGATATGAGGCCTCAAAGTTGCGGTCTAGGAAGCAGAAGAAAAACTAGAAACTCTTGTTGCTACAGCAACAAAAACGGTCTTCCGTTCTCCTCTATTTATCTGTATGAATGAGCTTTTATCTATGTTAAAAAAAAGGTATATGATATTCAAAAAGGATAACAGGAAAACAAACGGCGTGTAGCTTACCAAGTTTAGACAATTATAGTCTTAATAGCATTTACAAAAATCATTTTCAATTTTTTTTTATCATTTCCTGTGACGACCGGAAGTGACGGCCGACGTATTTAACCCTATATCTGTTGCCCAATCTTCATGGTTTATTATTCATATAAGTTAACTGTTATGAACTGTTACAGTTTAAGAGATCTCGTAATGTTAACATTTTGAGGACCAGAAATCACGTGACCGGAAGTAAATTTTTAAGAAGATATTTAAGGTTACTCTACAGTCTGAATAACATGTCCTAAAATCATTTCAAATACTCTTTTCATGAAAGATATTTATAGTATAGTATGATACTCAATTTTTGCAGTTTTTCTCTCATAACCGGAAGTTTTCGTTTTTGTTTCCCGTGGGACTGACATATTTCAAAACGGCAAATACGATGCTATAGTGTACTACTAAGAAAGAATTCATAAAGAAAAGTTGAAATTTTTTGATTTCTTTGATCACTTCCTGTAAGGACCGGAAATGACGGCGGAC